CAGTCTTTGTAAATCCAAATTTTATTAATGCCAATGCAAGAAGTGACAGTTACCTCTTTTTAACTTTCAGAGAGAAACATCAGGTACCTTCAATTTCCTTATACACCCCCTCCCCTTCAAGAAAGAAATCTCTCTCTGTATAAGCTGTATTTCTAAAAGTCTCTGTTTTTTCCTGGTTTTACATTGGAACAATTTACTTTTGTGTGAAACCACCCAATTATACCCCTGGAGCCAAGTGAAGGTCAAATCCCTTTACACCCAGTAGTCTTGACAACCAACATTCCACTTAACAACAAGATATCCACATCCCAGACACAAGCCCTCTTACTGGAAACATTTCCTCTGCAACAGAATTAAATGATCACACACACAAAAAGGGCTGGGGACAGTTTCTCTGGGAGTTTGCTGCATGTGGCTTGACCAAATGTCAGGCACCTGGGGGCTTCCTTAGTGAAGGTCGGTGACCTTGTCCCCCTGCATTGCACAGCTGTTCCCTAATGCCTGCCACCTCTGATTGGAACGCCTCTTCCCCCCCCCACCCCCGCCTGCTGCTTCCCCCAGAGGAAAGTGGCTGAAATACCAGACTGTGATGTACCATATCTTGGTTGCTATGACTGAGGCCATTAAAATAGTAGGCATTAAAAGACTGCATCTCAGTACCCAGCTACAAAGCCTCAAGGTCACTGCATTCCACAGCTTCCACCAGCCTTTCATTCCTGGCCTCAGAGCTTCAATATCCTGGCGAGATCCCCTCGTATTATATTTCATGGGGCTTTAAAATGCAAGCTCTCCCAGCAAGCCCGAGAGGATAATGGGAGTTTTAATACATTCCTTTCACCTAAGGCTGGGATCCATTTCAAAAAGTTACCCAATAGGTTTTCTTTCAGGTGAGATCATTGCTGAGACATTCCAAAATGACATTAAAAAATAAACCCTCTGATGACTATATTAATACAGTACCTGGGACACTGTGAGTTATACCTGAAAATGTCTTAGATGTCTATAAATAGACCTTTTTTTAAAAAAAAAAGTCAGCAGGAAGAATGTGAAGAGCTAATGGAATCCAAAAACCCTCACTGCTCTCTCTTCAGAGTTGAAATCCACCCTGCGTGGACCTTCGCAGCAGATATAAAAAGCCAGCCCAGGCTGAAACCATGTTAGCAATGCTGGGGCAACGGAATGTGCATCTTTTTCTCCACAGAGAAGCCACAAACAAACTAGACTCCTTGGAAGAAAAGTCTTCTTTGCTTATAAGGGCACACTAATTAGACATAAAAGGTCTCGAGATCTACTTTCAAAAAGTTAGCCACTGAAGCATAGTTCTATTAGGCAGACTATGGGGTCACCATGAGTACAAATTAACTTGGAGACAACTGGGGGGGGGTGTGTGTATGTGTGTGAGTGTGTGTGTGTAATCTATAATTAAGCATGTACACAAAGAAGCCCTGATGGCACAGAGTTTAAGAGCATAGTAACTAAAGAAAAAGTAGGTGACTTAAACTCACCCTATTCCTGAGAAGATTTCATCCTTGGAAACCATATGGGGCAGTCCCCACCCCCACCCTCACCCCATCCTCTCATTTCTGTTAAGTCAGAATTGACTGACCCTCTCGTGGGTTTTCAGAAGTTGCAGACTGTATGGGAGGAAATTGCCCAAATTTCTCTCAAGGAGCTGTTGGTGCATTTGGCACCCCTCTTTGGCTTAGCAGCATAACTCCCTATAGACTATACCCCCGGAATTCCCTTGAAACTCTGACCTGGAGAGCCACTCTAAGCTGGATTTGACTTGATGGAAATGGATTTGAATTTTTGGTTTAAGCATGTATATGATTCATTCCAGCCTCAAAACCAAACCTACTTCCACAGGGTTGATTCTGGCTCACGGTGATCCTCCATCTGCTTTCCCAGGCTCTAAGTCTTTACGGGAGGAGACGGCCCATCTTTCTCTCTTAGAGAGGATGGTGGCCAATAGAAATTGGCTTGAAATTATGACCATATAACCAAGGTTATTAATTCTTGCCTTGCGGTTGTTGTTAGGTGTTGTTGAGTCAAGTGTGACTCATAGTGACCCTATGAACAATAGATCTGAACCCTGTCCTATCCTGTGCCATCCTCATTATTACTGACACATCTGAACCCATTGCTACAGCCACTGTGTTAATACATCTTATATAGGGTCTTCCTCTCTTTTACTAACCCTCCTCCTTTCCAAGAACGATGTCCCTCTCCAAGGAATAGCTGCTCCTTGTAATATGTTCAAAGTATGTGAGATGAAGCTCTTCCATCCTTGTCTACAAGGAACATTCAGGCTGCACCTTCTCCAAGACATATCTGTTTGTTCTTTTGGGAGTCCATGGGATACCAGTACTCTTCTCAAACATCACAGCTCAAAACCAAGGCATTAATTTTTCTGTCTTCCTCATTGTCCAGCTTTCAGGCACATAACACCTTGTTGTTGTATGTGCTATTGAGTCACCTGCAACTCTTAGTGACCCTATGTACTTCAGTCTTGAAAATTATACCATTACTCTTCAGTAATTTGGAGAAGTCCCTGACAACAGACATGTCCAATGCCATACATCTCCTGATCTCCTGACTGTTGGTACGAAGGGTATTGATTGTGGATCCAAGCAAGATAAAATAGATGACAACTTCAATCTGTATATCCTAATGTTGCCTATGTGTCAAGTGGTAAGGATTTTCTGTCTTCTTGATGTTGAGCTGTAACGCATATTGCAGGCCGTTGTCTTTGCTCTTCTGCAGCAAGCGCATGAAGTCCTCATTACTTTAAACAAGCAACGCAGGTTGTTAATGAGTATTCCTCTGATTCTGACACCACATTCTTCTTCACAACAGTGGCCCTAAGTAACCGTAAAGGACACCAAAATGTCTCTGTTTGACTTCAGGTGGAAGGAGCTCTTAGAAAAGACATGAAAGAGGCAGGGGTGTGTGGAGAATGACCCAAAATTTACATAATGGTAAAGACATGTGTTAGGGCTAAGATATCCTTGCTTTTTGCCTCCTTGGGATCCCATCTTGGCATTGTCTTTTCTTCTTGGACCCATCTTACTTGAAATTCTGTTTCTCCAGGCAGAACTCCCGCTTTCTCAACCTTGCAGAACTAGGGGTATTAATGTCACAGTGCATTACTGAGGGGCTGGAGGAACTGGAAAGCATTTTGGTCACAGGATGGAATTAGTCAAGGGTAGGTCATGCTTCAGACACATGCCTTGTTTGAATATGGGTGACTGAGCCCCAGCTAGTTGAATAAAAAAACTCATTCAGAATTTGGAATATTTTTACTACATTTGGACTAGAGAGTAAAGTTTCCAAAGTTTTATAAACAAACAGTCTGACACAAATACAGCACTGTTGTAAGTTAGCACTATCAGATATGAACAGAACTTATGAATATATATGTATATTTATACATATAAATATTTATGAGATATATATATATATTTGTTTGATTTTTCCCATTCACTGTAGTCTTCAGAAGAACCAGAAATACTCTTTTTCTAAGGAGCAGAGTCACCTGGGCTCTAACCAGTTACCGCAAGTTGTTTTGACCCCATGTGTGTTCCAGAATCTTGTTTGCAAGGCAATCAATCTCCCTGCGATTCAAAACAGCACCTATATTCACATGCTTACAGTGTGCCGGGTTCTATGATAATCACTTTGCAAACATTATTAATTTGACCCCAACCACCATCCTGCGAGTTGGTACTATGTCCTACCCATTTTAAAGACAAGGAAATTAAACCTTGATCTGCCCAACAGGTTGCTGAGCTCGAAAGTAGTACAGCTGGGGAAATCTCTAGAGCCAAAGATTTCACAAGCTAGCAAGCTTGGATAACTATTCCTATCCTGCTTACTGCAGAGAATTTTGTGAAGTATGAGCAAATGATAAGTGTGTAATACATTAGATTGGAATAGTACTTTCCACTTTTCAAAACTAGTTGCCAATATTGAAAAATTATCACCAATACCATTATTGGGTTTTTAAATATGGTAGAATCTTAGGTTTGGGAAACAGCCAGTAGAGAAAGATCATTTTGAATTACTTTTAAGAGGCAATATAATTAGAATCTTTGAGGCTACTTTTCATGCTTAATAGTCAATATAATTATTACAAAGAATGGCCGATAAACTGTGCATCAGCTGAATAAGGGTCTATGTTTATGATTATAATTAGATAAGGACCAAATCAATGTATTGATCATTAGCATTTTGCTACAGGATTTAAAAAGTTTATTCTTGAGATTAAATATGACTGCAGGGAATTCTGGTGGCATAGTCCCTATGCTGTTGTGCATGCTGGTAAACCAAAAGTTGGTAGTTCAGATCTATCAACTGTTTTACAGGGAAAAAATATAGGCAGTCTCCTCCCATGCAACTTATAGCAGTGAAAACCTACTGAATGGCCAGCTATGAGTTGAAAGTGACTTTTCAGCAGCAAGTTTAAGGTTTTTTGAGAAATCTAGCCGCAGACCTTTATTTTGCAATTAATCCTTCCTACAGTCACAATGAAAGGGAAATTCAGTCCACCTCCTCTAGTCAAATAATAGAAATTTCTGATTGCTGCTCTTAATAGCAGGTGTCAAGTCACAGTGATCCCATATACAATGGGATCAGACCACTGTGCTCTGCAGGGACTTCACAGGCTGATTTTCAAGAGATTGCCAGACCTTTCTTCTCAGTCACAGACTAGAAGCTCTGCTCACACTTGGTCAACATCACAGTAACACACAAACCTGAACTGACAGACAGTGTCTGAGCTTGGGGCACGCTGGTCAGGAAATGAACTTGGGTCTATGACATGAAAGAAGAAAATTCTGTCCCTGTCCCCAGTCCCAGACTAGAGTGATCTAAATAAACATGATTTACCCAGTTTTCCAGAATGGCAGCCTCTCTGATCCTTTCCTCAGTGGCTCTTACAGTTTTCAGTGTGGAATGGTGGGACCTCTCTAAGAGCAGTCACATCCTGACATTCTACTTACCTGACTAACAATGAAGAAGATGACAGTCATAGCAGCACAGGCCAAGGTGATAAGCATGAGAAACTTAAACCTGAAAATTAGACCCTAAAAGAAAAGAGGAAAATGATAATTTAACATGTTACCTGTCACCATCACTCCTTATCTCAATATATATAAATCCATGAAAAGGCTTTTTTTTTAATCTATAAAATCAAATCCCTGAAAAGTTAAATAAATTCACCTAGTGCCAGTACTCCTGCAGAGGTGAATGTGGTTGTGAAATTTCTTGGGCCAAATATTTCCGCTGCTCTTATCTCACATGAAACAGCAATACCAGAGCCTGGGAAATGATATTCGCAGCACGTCGTGAAGCTGCTAATTTCCCTGCTAAGCTGGTTATGCTTCTCTGCAAGGGTTCAAAGTTACCAAATCCAAGTTTTCTGCGGTTGTAATAAAATTCTGCTCCAGTGAACACAAAGAAATGTGCATATTAATCAACATGAAGTGGATCGGGTTGAATTTTCTCACGTGTCACTCCAGCTCTGGAGACAAACATGCTTTAGAAAGTGCCTGTGGCTCTTCTGAGTGCAGTATTTCAAGGAATCTGCATGATAGGAGGCACATCTACTATTGTTTAGGCATTCTGACAAACACTTCATGTATTAAACAAGAGAAACACTGTCCTGTTCTGTACTATATCCACAAACAAATGGGCTGCTATAAGTTGGAACTGATTGAATGGCAAACGAGAGCATGTGCAGATATGCTGCATATAAACATGTGGGTCTGGTTCTCTTTTTATAGATTAATTTAGCCAATGTCTCTGAGGGCAGACACTTAGGTATGAATCCAAAGGACTCCTGACTGTTTGATGGGTGGAGCGAGGGGTAGGTAAAGGACAGGAGAAAGATCCAGTGGGGAAAACCGTGTATACAAACTTTGTAAGTAAACTGGTATGACCCTGGAGGACATTATGCTGAGTGAGGTATCTCAGTCACAAAGGGACAAATGCTATATGGTGCCACTGTTGTAGAATGAGGCTGATCCGGGGTGGGGGTAAGACTGAGAAAAACTGGATGAAATATGTTTACAGCTTTGAAGTCTATGGGGGAGAGAATAGTTTAAAGGTATTATATTATAGGGTATTATGTTTATCGTAAGAGTACGGAATGAGGGTTGCAGAGTGGATTATACTTGGGGTTGGGGATGGGGTTGGGGTGTGTGCGGGGGGATTGAGTACCAATGAGGGAGTTTTTCTTTTGCTTTTCAAGGAGAGGAGCAAACGGGGGGGGGGCGGGGAGAAGGGTGCAACAATGAATGAATGGAATTCCAAAATCTCTGTAGATGTTCATTGAAATGAAAAATAAATTTTAAAAAAATTTCTATAAAAAGTATAAAGATGTTGTCTGCATTAGAGATTTGAAGGTGCCGAGTGAAACCTGTGAAGTGAGATCACTGGACTTAAGTTGAGCACCTGCTGGTTATTTTAAGAAAGAAGTGATATATTCGAGCTAGAAATCAGATCTCCTGAGTTTATTGCCAGTCTTGAGTCTGGTTCTTGGAGAAGAATTTTGATTAGTCTCACTCTTAGCCATATCTCAAGCCTACCACTGTGAAATCTCTCATATATATTCCCCTGCATTCCGTCCCAAAGCTGGAGAACCTGCTGAACAAGTTCACTTCTTACTGAGAACAGAAAGAAATTTACACCACAGCAAACTCCAATATTTAGAAAGGTCCATTGGATGCTTCTCAGAATCAGATTTTGTCTTGAAACTTACCCATGGCTTCTACCTGAGAATACGCATTTGAAAGAAGAGTCTTTCACTTTATAATCACGGAGGGTGTGTGTGTGTGTGTACACACCAAATGGGAGACAGATAGGAAGTACAATGAGTTCCAAAAGGAGTTAAGACATTTGCTCACCTCATAGTGCAGTCGCCGGACCTTGCTCATGGCTGGCAGGCTGGACTGCTTCCCACTGATGTTCCGAAAGACCTGAAACACCATGAAGCACAGAAACAGGAAGTAGAGGCAGAGACAAATCCCGGCCACAATGATAAACGCCATCTGCAGGTATCCAGTAAAGGAAATGGCAAATTGGCTAAGGACACATGCTCAAAGGGCACAGCACTTCTCCCCGGTTCCACTGGTAAGACTTTTTTTTCCCCCCTCTCCAAATATCCATGCAATTTTCAGGGGTACAAAGTATTAAACACTGGTATTCCAATGACAGAAGTGGCATCCACTTCCTGAACAACATGTCTCTGGAAACGATGAACTTTGATAAATGTTGATAGTTAGAGAAAGGCCTTTTGCTCATGGAGCCGCTATGAGTCATGCTCGACTCGAAGGCAATCAACAACAAAAATTCTAATGACAGTTAGAGGGAGGTTTTCGGACACAGCAGCACTACAGAGGGGAATCTTCAAATTGGTTTCTGAAGCCAAGTAAAAAGAGGAAGGTGGCCTTCCTTGTTAGAAACGTTGAACTCAGGACCCACAGTCAATCATCAAAACAGCATCTGCCTGCTACCAGAGTGCCAAGGAGATTTTCCTGTACCATACAGCTGAACAGCATGCAATTGTAGGTATTGGTTGCTAAATACTAATCAAGTGAAAAGTTGCTTTGGAATCCCGGCATGAGGAATTTAAAATCCAGATGCCCAGATCACATCCCCAATTTATGGAAACAGATTTTCCCAGGACCAGAGAACCAAGTTTGATAACAGTTGGGAGTGGTTAAAACTCTGGAGTTGTATGATAATGAAATTAGGATGCCCCCAAATCATGAGAGGGATTGGCATTTCTAGGATCTTTGAACATGGGATTAAGGTCCCATGAACTGAGATGACTTCAGAAACTGGCTATCACTCAATAGTAAGCCAGAGATGAAGTACTCTTTGCAAGTTTTGGTCACCACAGAAAATCCTATCAAACGGAACAGGAGCAGAAAGACATGTGATGCAGGGCAGAGGAACTCAAAATACTTTGAGATCCATCAGGGAAATTCTGAGGCCTTCCACTGAAGACAAATATGAGAACCATACTGATTTGGGAAGAAGGTGCTTGACTCCTATTCTTATCTACTAACTTTAGGGAGCACTGACAGCATAGTTCAAACGAAGTTACACTACTAACCCAACAGACTGTACCTCTTTGGTATCTTAAATCCACCAGCAGCTCCACAGAATAAATATGGGCAGTCTCTCCCTATGGGATTTACAGTCACAGAAATTCTGTAGAGGGTTGGCTCAGAGTGGATTCTGAATGGATGGTAATGAGATAGAGAGAGACAGAGATAATAACTTTAGGTATCCTTTGGTGTGTTGGGGTAGTGTTTTTGTATGCTGTCGAGTCAGAACTGACTCATAGCTGACCTTTCACTGGGTTTTCAAAGGCAGTAAATTGCACAAGAGAAGACTTGGCATCTTTCTCTCCTGGAGCAGCTGGTGGATTAGAATTTCGTGCTTTTGGGACTACAGCTTTTTACCACTAGACCACTGTCCCTGGATGATGCAACTGATTAAGCGTTCAACTACTAGCCCAAGCACAATGTTTGGCAGTTCAAATCTACTCAGAGATGCCTTTGAAGACAGGTCTGACAATCTGCTTCTGAAGAGTCATAGCCCTGAAGTCCTTATGGAATAGCTTTACTCTGCACACATAGGGTCACCGTAAGCCAGAATTGGTGAAACAAAAGGGTTGAAGTAGACTCAATAGTGTAAATATTCCCTTGATTTTGCTGCTTATATTTTAAAGTGGTAACAAGAGAGGAATTTCAACTCTCATCTTTAAAATAACCACTCTCCTGATTTAATTTTCAGGCAAATTTCTTATGACACTAGACAAACCAATATAACCACCAGGGTTGGACAATATACATACCTACCAACACATGATAATATATCCATCAGGGAAAGACTAGCCCAAGCCCTTCTCCTCAGTCCAGGGGAAAGTCTTTTTCTCCCTGAGCACTTTAACATATTATTCAAAGAGATGAAATATTTAAATCCAGCATCCTAAAAGGGATAAGCAGGGACTGCAGCTTCTGCTTCACGAAGATGACTCAGACAGTGTGTGTCAACCAATCAGAAGCTTTGGTGAGTCCTCTGGAACTAATCACCTTAGTCTTATCTCTACTCAGTCTCAGGCACGAATAGCAGCAGAGCAGCATGCCAACATGCCAAGGTCACTTTAAGAAGCCCCGCACACAGATGACTTCAGAAACAAGCTCTCACTGGAGCCTGGAGATGAACCTATGTGGCTCCGGGGAAAAGCGAGTCATGCTTCAGTCTGCCGTAAACAAGTGTGTAATAGATAATTTAGACAGGCTGTGGGAGAAGCAGACGCTCTGATCTCTGCAGTGTGGAGATGAGCTGTAACCTCACCATTCTACCCGCTCTCACCCTGGCTGGAGAGCAAGCATTAAGTCTTCTCATTATTATCCGTAATTGTGTTGTTATCATTGGTTTGAGGATCAAAGCCCTGGATAAACCCATATGAAGAGCATCAGCTGTGACTTAGAAAATGATCGTGGAGACCAGGCAGCTAGAGGAGGAAATAAAACCCTGAGCCCAACAAGGAAGGATACAGCCAGCTCTGTTCCAACATCTGTAGTCCAGATACTGTAGAAAGGATTCGTGAGTTGCACCCCTCTACAAAGAGAAACAAAATGCAGAGGCAAACACAATTCATAGAAAGGCAAAAAGACTCTTGCTACAGATTCTTAACTTTGCAGCTAGTAGATCAGGGCTGTAATATTTTGCAGGCCCAAACATTTTGCATCTATAGCATTTTGTCATGAATTCAATCATAACCCTGATCTGTGGCTATGACCATGCCAAAATCTTTCACGCCAAAGCAAAGATTCATGATGATCACTCTAGTTTGGGAACATGCCTTCTAAACAAATGAGAGGGAGAATTTCAGCTCTGAGAGCCACGCACGTTATGCTCACCTCTCACACATGTCAAAGATGAAGAGGCAGAAAGAGCCAACGGCAATTGGCCCGACTTGTTTCCAGTATCCTGCAATGTGATTCCGCTCATGCTGATCCTGAGGAAAATCAAATTGAGATGTGAGATAAAGATGAGAGGAATGAAAAGCAATTTTGTAGGTGAGTCAGCCATTCAAGCAGAGCTTGCTGACCACCTACCAAGTCTAAGTCACCCCCGGCTAGACTCTCAGCATCCAAGACTGTGCAAGATAAAAATCTCTGTTCTTAAGGAGCTCCTTTTCTTTGGAGGAGACTGGCACATAAACCGATAATTACAAGGCCCATTCGTAAGGGCTCTGATAGCAGTAAGAACTGGATGGAATAGGAACAAAGGACAGGCCTTATACCCAGGACTCGGGAAGACTCGGGAAGTTTTGTGGTCCCCAAAGAGTTCATTCAGAATTAAAGCCATATGTGAATTATAACTTTGGAAGTGGCGCTATTTGCAAAGGTGGGGAGGTTGTCATAAGGACCAAATAAACACTCTGAGGCATTAAAATGACGTTTGTGAGAGATCCCCTGTGGTTAGAAAAACAAATGCATTCTCTCCTTAGTATCATTACCATCAAGACCAATTCCTCTTAGACAAAGGTATAAAAAGTCTAAGGGGGAGGGAAGGACTCGGAGTTGGTGGGGGAGGGGAAAGAAACTAGAGTAAGAAAACCAGAAAGGGCAAAAGGCAAACCTCAAGTTCAAGGATGAGGCTCACTATGGGTGATCGATGCTGGCTATTTGTTCTGTTGCCGTGCCAGACCCTCCTTCACTTCTAGTCTCTTGCCTAGAGGACTCTCATGTGAGCTCTAAACGTTGGTAGAAACGCTCTGTCCTCTCATATGCCTTCCTGGAAGGTCAGCAAGTCCTTAGGACCATGGTCAAGCCATAAGGGGATTTTAAAATAGTCCATTCTACTAGAGGAACCATGTGCCTAGCCCAAGCCCAAACCGGCTGGAGTTTCTCCTTAGCCATAATGCGATGACTGCACCATTTTAATTTTTAGCCATGGGGCCTTCAGTCATCTTCAGTTATGACTTGGAATCTGTGAAAACTGATAAGAGACTAGAGAGGTCAGTGTTACAGGCATTACAAAACCATTTTAAAAAGCTTCTAGATAAAAGGAGCCATGTCTACATTAAGTCTAAGGAAGTAATTATCATCATTACCATCTTATACCCTCTGATAAATACTCTGATCCCATTTATCTCATAAAGCACTATAATTGAGCCCTCCCAATCCCATTTTACAGTTTAGGAACTTCAGAATGATGAAATCATTCTCCCAGGACAACTCAACTAGACGCAGATGGTGAAGCAGAATTTGGGCAAGAAGGTCTGACTCTAGGTCTTGCATTATAACCACTCTCTCGTCTGTCTCGCTTAGAGTTAGAATTGTGGCAGAGGGATGGTGGGGTCAGTTCAGCAACCTACACACAGCAGCCAGGTGTGAAGTCTGTTCTTCTCAGGGAAGATCCTTACCATCATGTGCTCGCCACAGAAGATGATCCAGAAGGAGAGAAGCATTGCATAAAAGATGCCCTGTCGAATGTCACCAAACAACAGCATCCAGGTCCAGTCAAACCCAATGGAAAACCATTCCACTGGGATGTTAATAAAGGTCATGGAAATTCCAAGGGCAAAGATGACTCTGATGGTGAAAACATACCAAGATAACCTCTTTATTCATCTTGGAAGCAGGTTTTTACAACTCAGAAGTCAGTTTGGGGAATTGAGATGTTACTTATTGGAAACAAAACCACAGGATCATTTTCTTCATTTTCTCAAGTTTCTACACAGAGTTGCAAAATGTTCTACCGAGCCTGCACTAATATGAAAATGAAGAGGCTACTTTGACCCTTTTGTACATTGAACCTTACCTTTTTCATGCCCTAAACATTATCTTTAGTGCCATTTCAGATTAAGAACTTCTACCATATTTTTTGCTCTCCCTTCATTACTTTGTGTGTGTGTGTGTTTCTTTTTTTATTTTTTTAGAATTGAAAATGTTTTGCTTGAATCTTTTTTCATTGTTGCACATTTTCTTCCCTCTCCCCATCCCTCTGCACAATGCATGCCTTGTTTCAGATTGTGGTCATGTATATAATGCCTGATCATATAACCCTTTCAGACAGTTCTTCCTCTCATCTGTTCTAAGGCAGTGTTCATCAGCCATCCACTCTTTTCCCAACCTCTCACCAATCCCACCATGTTTGTCCTATTTTATTACAGTGGTGTTTTCAAGAACAATTCTTTTTTCAATTTCCTTCAGCTCCCTACCCATCAAATTGTACAACACCATGCTTAATCCTCCCCCTGCACATCCTCATCCCTCTGCTTCCACCCAGACTTCATTAAATATAACCAATTGTCTTCTAATAGAGATCCAGGTTACTATCAACCTGATCCTTGAAACCATACATTATTATTACCCTGCTAGCCTCCGTTAACAATGATTTATACAAAAGCATATTTATTGTTAAAATAAACTACCCTGAAACTAAACCACTGCTGTAGAGTCAATTCTGACTTCTACAGACCCTGCAGGACAGAGCAGAAGTGCACAGAGGGTTTCCAAGGATATAAATTATTTTTGAGAACAGTCTGTCTTATTTTTTTCCCTGTACAATGGTTCTGTGGGTTTGCCTCTGGCTTTTTGATTAGTCGTCCAATTCCTTAACCACGGAGCCATCAGGGCTCCTTCAAATGACCCCAAATATCTAGAAAATACAAATTCTTCTCGCTGCTCTTTTGTTTTAAGTGCTCTCTCAGCCACCCTATCAATTAGTTGCTACTGCAAGTGAATTTTTCTTTTCTATTAAAATATCATTCACTGTGTCATTACTTTACTCATATGTTACTTTATATTCATACAATACATGTTTATCATGTGTCAGGACTACAGATATCTAAATGAATAGGACATATTTATTCATTCAGGCACTGACAGTTTAGTGGAGGAACGAGCTGAAGAGACAACTTAGAGCAAAGTCTGACAAACATGACAGAGATGAGCACAGGCCTAATTTTGGCAGAGACAGAACTTGAACTGAGTTGTGAGTGGAGGCTAGATCAGGCCAGCATGCGAGAAGGCTAAACAAGAAAGAAGGTGTTCTTGGTGTTGTTAAGTATCATTGAGACGAAAGAGGGTGGAGGAGAACGGGTAAAGTAAAAGAGGAAGGTAGGCAGACAAGAAAGGACATTCCATATAGAGGGAAAGTGTGGATTAAGAAGCAAATGCCTGGAACATTTTGGAAATCTACATTTTGGAATCTGCATGTAGCACATTTAAGGGCATAAAAGAAAATAAGACAAGACAAATAAAGAAGGTAGAGCTCATAATGGACAGCATATGTTTCAGTCTAGAATTTTAAACTAATCTTGATAGGATATTGGATCCAATAATAAATTGAAGCAATGGGACATGATTCCTTTATTAATTCTTACAACTATTCATTGAACTTCTGCTGTTGTTGTTGCTAAAGGCCACTGAGTTGACCATGACTCATAATATCCTAATGAACAATGGATCTGAATCCTTCCCTATCCAGTGCCATCCTCATCATCTCTGACACTAGAGCCTACTGTTATAGTCACTGTGTAGATTCACCTGTTTGAGGGTCTTCCTCACCTGCATGGACCCTCTACTTTTCTGAACATAATATTCTTTTCCAAGGGCTAGCCCTTTCTAACAATAAGCTCAAAGTATGTGCGACTAAGTTTCACCATCCTTCCCTCTAAGTAGCACTCTGTACCCTCTACAAGTCATAATTAACTGTTCTCTTGGCAAGCGATAGGGTATTTAGTACTTTTCTCCAGTGCCACAATGCAAAGACATTGATTCTTCTTATGCCATCTTTATTCATTGTCTAACTCAGATGCATAGCAAGTGATTGAAAAGATCTGGTCTTGGTCTATAAACTAACATCCTTACATGGAGGTTCTACCATGTGCCAATTACTTTTCAAGGGGCTAAAGATATAACAGTAAAAAACTGGACAAGGATCTTCCTTTTGTAAGACAGAGTGAGAAGGTGCTATAGGAGAAAAGACAATATATTGATAAAGAATCTGCATGATAAAGAAAAATAAAGCAAGTTAAGAAAAAGGAAAATAATAGAGACACTCTTATATAAGTTGCACAGGAAAAGTCCCTAAGATAAGAGACACTGCAGCTGGGCAGGAAATGAAAAGTTGAGCCACAAAGGTAACTGGGAAAGAGCACTTCAGATAAAGAGAACAGAAAGTGCCAAGTCCCTGGGGTGTGAGAGCAGACAAGGTATGTTTGAACACCATGAAGGTGGTTGGTGGGTGGTAGGCAGGATAGAAGATGAGATCAGAGGTGGCATGGAGCCACCATGGAAGGATCTGCAGACCAGGGCAAAGGAGATGAAAAGCCAGGAGAGAGCTTTGAGCAAAGGGGAGACATGATCTGATGATTTACATTCAAAAAGGAGCAGTCTAGTTTCGATGCGAATAGATTAGAGAGGGGAAATTGGTAGAAGCAAGGAAAGAAAATAGGCTAGTTCAAATAAGTGGAATATTATGGTAAGTTAGATTAGGATTGTAGCAGTAAAAACAGTACAGTTTCTTGGTAGATTGGATGGTGGATATGGAAAGAAAAAAAAGGAGTAAAAGATGATTCTTAAATTCTTAGCCTGAGCCACCAGGAGCCTGAAGTCACCATTTGCCAAGATGGGGAAGTGGGCAGTGTTCCTATTTGAGTTTAGAGTTAAGGAGGTTGGATCAAGGACATAAATTAAGTCATCACAGTGCAGATGATTTTTAGAGCCATGAGGCTGGATGAGATCATCTGGGAAATAAGTGTAGCTGACAAAGAGAAGCAGTCCAAGAACTGAGCCCTGGCTCTAAGGCTTCAGAAGTCGGAAAGATGGAGAAACAATAAAACTGAATAGTTGATGTCCAGCAAAAGGGACGATAACCAGAAACAAAGGATGGGGAGGACTAGTGAATAAAAAGGGAATGGTTAGTAATGCCACATGCCAGTCAAGAAAAGTTTTAAGGATAAGAGAAGAAGAGGGAAGGCGGAAAAAAAATATTAAATAGATAAGTTTGTTGAACAGAAAGGTAATATATAATAAGAATTTGATTAGACATTGCAATTAATTGTGTGAAACAAATGGAAAACAAACACCTAGGAGTTGATTCAAAAACCCATGCATTGGGTTTAAGAGAGAATAGAAGAGAAAAAACAGAAACAAGAATTTTGAGGAATTTTCCTATAACGAGGAACAGAGAATGGTGTGGTGGCTTCAGGGGGAAGTTAGCAAAGGGGGTTTTTTGGTCAAAAGTGAGAGATGGTAGGTTTATATATTGATAGGAGTTACCAGCAGGAATGAAAAGGGAAATTATATGAGAGATAGCTATTTGCAGGAATACTGTCCTATCAGTGAGAAAGAATGGGCTTAGTTAAAATTGGACAATTCATCCACTGTAACACCGAGAGGTAGCTGGCTCTGGCAGCAGGAATAAAAGCAGATAAAGAATAAAATACCTGAAAAAGAAAAGTAGAGTCCTTAGGATTTAATAGTAATATGTACATGAAAATAAAAAAACAAAAAAAGTATCTAGGATGACTTCTTGTCAACTCACTAGTTCAAGTAATCTACAGGTTTCTTGAACTGTTACATTATATTAGGTGACGTTGAGTAAACTATGACTCACAGTGACTCTACGAACAAAAGATCAAAACAGAAATATCTGGTAACATCTTTACGTTCTAAGCCAAGTTCAAACCCATCATGGCAGCCACTGTGCCAATCCATCTCCTTGAGAGTCTTCCTCTCTTTCTCTGACCCTCTTTTCACCACATGATGTCTTTTTCCAAGGACTGGCACCTCTTGGCCACATGCAAAAGCAGGAGTGTGGATCAAAACGAACATTCTGAGATCAGCTCTTACTTTTCCAGAAGCACCGGGGGTCGAGACATCATGGTAATCCTCCTCCAGTACCACACCATGATAATGAAGATACTGGGTGTGAGGAAGGTCTTCATGGCAAACCACACCTTGGTGAAGCCTCCATTTTGATGGATCCCCTAGAAAGAGATCAATAATAGTTCAATAATATTTCAGCATTGTTTCCCACTGTCAAATACATTTAAGAGAAGTGCGTAGCAATTTAATCTGCTGAACTTTCAAAATGTAAGAACTTTCATACTCACGGCATGTGCTATCCTTAAACTCCCTTTGGCTCTTTCTTCAAAACTACAGAGATATGTTATCAAAAAGATAGAAAAACGAACCCTCTTTGCTAAGAACTATAAGAATTATGATCAAAGATTTTTCTGTATGGGTTTTCATTTAAAAATTGGAGTTATCCTAGATGCCTAAAATGTAGAGATTGATTAAATAGGTTAAATTAAATTTATACAATGGATTGCTACACAGTATTATAAAGCATATTGACATTATAGTCTTAAGATAATGTTGCATCACAAAGTAAGGAAGAAAATGGATTGAATATAAGAACCCTTACTAGGAGGAAAGTATGCTGATGGTTTTAGCTAGCTCCAATCTTATGTGTAACAGAACAAAATAGTGCCTATTCCTGTGCCATCTTCATGAGGTACATAAAAATCATTAACAGCAGTGACTGTTTCTAGAAGGTAGGATTTTACAGTTAATTTATATGTTCTTCTATGTGTTTGAATGTGCTTTCCAATTTTCCTAAGCCGTGTATTTCTGATGTAATTTTTAAAAAAAACTGGCCTCCTAATCTCATGTTCAACCTGGAAAGATGTCCTTACTTAAAATACACTGTTCCCTCTAACACAGTGTGTGCTTGCAAGGCAAAACCTGTCAACTAAATTACTTTATCTTGGTGTTACTATGTTATTGTGATCACTATAATAAAATCATAAATGGGTATACAGTAGCTGTTTTCTATTTCTGTAACTTATCGCAGAAATTAGCTGACTTTCCATTCTCTGCTGTGAGGATCACATCAGGAGTCTCAGTTTTCTGACTAGATGATTGAGGCAATAATGACGCCAAGGGTGAGATGAGTTTTCCTTCCAATACTCATTCAGGCCCCAAAACTACTACCCCCAGTGTCACATTCTTGTCAGTTAACTCACCACCAGACGGATATCCTTTATCTCCCCGATCCCGACGTTGATTTTCTTCTTCTCGTTGACAGGCAGTCGGATGTTTAGGAGGTAGTATTTATGAGCTACCGAGCCAATTTCCATGAACGGAAGGACATCGCAGTCATAGTAACGCCCCTCATGCTCTGGGGTCTGGAAAAAGGAGAGAGTTTGAGGCAAGTTCAAGGTCACTATTTTCAAGTAGTTGTTGTTACACGCCATCAGGTATGACTCATAGCTAAAAGAACCCTGTCCTAACCTGTACCATTCTCATCATCAGTCATTGCTGAAGTAACTATGTCAATCCATTTTGTTGAGTTTCCTCCTCTCTTTCACAGACCCTCCAGTTTTCCAAGTATGATGATCCTCTCCAAGGAAAAGCCTAAACTAGCAACAAGCTTAAAGTATTTAAGATAAGGCATCATTATCTTTGTTTTCAAAGAGCATTCTTGCTGTACTTTCCCTAAGATATATCTCTTTGTTCTTTTGGCAATCCATGGGATATTTAAAATTTTTCTTCAATGTCACAACTCAAAAATAGTAATTCTTCTGTATGTCCAGCTCTCAAGATGCATAGCAAGTACCTGAAAAGATCAAAACCTCCTATACCAGGAGAAGATAAAATAGATGAATGGGACCTTCTAAGAATCAAATCCCTATGCACATCCAAAAACTTCTCCAACAGGGTAAAAAGGGAAGCCACAGACTGAGAAAAAGTATTTGGGAATAATGTCACAGATAAGGGACTTATATCCAGAATTTATAAAATACTTGAGCACCACAACAAGATAAAGGTAATAAATCCAATTGAAAAATAGGCACAGGATATGAAGACACTTCACCAAAGAAGACATTCAGATGGCTAACAAGCACATGAAAAATGTTCAAAATCCCTAGCTCTAAGAGAGATGCAAATCAAAACAACTGTGAGATATCATCTCACCCCAGTCAGAATAGCAAAATTTAACAGAACAGCAAGCAACAAACACTGGTGAGGTTGTGGAGAAACTGGAACTCTTATTCACTGTTGGTGGGAGTGTAAAATGGTGCAACCACTGTGGAAGGTGGTATGGTGCTTTCTCAAAAAGTTGCAAATAGAGATACCATTTGACCCAGCAATTCCACTACTGGGAATATACCCCAAAGAGACCATAACTGACACCCAAGCAGATATATGCACACCCATGTTTAAAGTGGCTTTGTTCACAACAGCCAGGAGTTGGAAACATCCTAAGTGCCCATCATCAAACAAATGGATAGAGAAGCTGTGGTATATTCACACAATGGAATACTATGCTGCATTGAAAAACAAGGAACTCATGCAATATTATTAAAAATGGGTGACCCTGGAGGACATTATGCTGAGTGAAGTATCTCAGTCACAAAAGGACATATACTGCATGGTGCCACTGTTGTAACACAGGACTGACCTCGGAGTTGGGGGGAGACTGGGAAAGATGGGTTTAATAATGTATACTGCATTGAAACAGATGAGGGAGAAAAACTATTTAAAAGGGATATGTGATTAGGTATTTTTGTCATTACAGGAGTCCAGAGCGAAGGCTGCATAGTGGAGTGGAGTGGACCTAGGAGGAGGGATTGTAAAACAATGAAAGAATTTTTCTTTTACTTTTCCAAGAGGGTAATATACTACGGGGGAGGGTTGGGAGGGGAGAAAAGTACAACAATGAATGAATGGAAATCTGAAGTCTCTGTAAATTTTCATTGAAATTAATAATAAATTTTTTAAAAATCTAAAAAAAAAAACCACAAACAACACACACACAACAAAAAAACCCAAGGTGAAAAGAAAACCTACTGACTGGAGAACAAACATTTGGCAATACTCATACAGGGGTCTCTTAACAAAAGTTTACAGAATACTGCAGGGCCTCCACAAGAAAAAGCCTAATAACCCAATTACGAATTGGGGAAAAGACATGGAAGGACTTTTCATAGTGGAAGATTTTCAAATGGCCAATAGACACATGAAGAAATATTCAAAGTCACTGGCAATATGAAGATGTGCAGGGGGAAGGGGATTAATCATGGAGTTGTGCAATTTGATGAGTGGAGGGCTGAGAGAAATTGGAAGTCTTCTCTGGAAAACAATGTACGTGAATTTTGTAAATAAACTGGCATAATAAATAAAACCCATTATTATAAATACTAGACACATAAGAGAGAGATGTAGACCAAAACCACAATGAGACACCATCTTACCCCAGTAGTAATGGTAAAGTTAAATAGGCTAGCAAGCAAGTTGGAGAGAATGTGGAATGAAAGGAATTCTCATATACTGTTGGTGAAATTATAAAACTGTACAATCACTCTGAGGCAGTTGGGTGTTTCCTTAAAAAGCTACACATAGAAATTCTGTCTGACCCAGCTGTTCCACTGCTAGGAATATACGCCAAGGAAATTAGAACTAAGACACAAGCAGAGATTTGCACACCAATGTTCATAACAGAGCTATTCACAATCATAAGAACATAGACACAGCTCAAATGTACAAACACAGTCAAATGGATTAAGAAATTATGGCACATTCACATGATGGAATACTGTGCAGTCCTCAGGAACAACAATTTTGAAATTTACTACATCACTTGGGAGAGACTGGAGGGCAAGATACTGGGTAAACTAAGTCAGTCTCATAAGGACAAATACTGCATAAAACCATTATTGAAAAATTGGAAGAATAGTGAACTGTGTATGGGAATCTAAGGAAGGAAAGAGTAGGAGCAGAGGGATAAAGATGTACAGGTGAGAAATCATAGAATCGTGCAATTTGGTGGGTGGAGGGAGGCAGGGTAAAGGAAATGGGAAAAGATCTGCAGGGATTTGAAAAAATGGGAAAATGGTGGGCATAGCTCACTGGTGATAAAGTTTATAAAAGACAATGAGAATCATTGTATAAAAATGTAAATGAAGGAGCGTGTGATACAATGTGTATGAATTTTGTATGCAAACCAATATAAAATAATTTTTTTTAAATGTGTAAAAAAAAGAAAGAAAATATCATAACCTGAGTAGGGCATACCTTAATCTTCAAACTAACATTACTGCTTTTTACTACCCTGGAGAGGTTCCTTGCAGTGACTTGCCCAATGCAACGCATCTCCTGAAGCCCTGACTGCTGGTACCAATGGCTGTTGATTATGGATCCAAGTACGATGAAATCTTTGACAATCTCAAGCTCTAGCTCATCTATCAGAATATTGCTTATTGGTCCATTGGTGAGAATTTTTTAAAATAGTGGCAAGCCTCACCATTATTTTCAAGAATATGCTGAAATTCCCATATCTTTATTTCATGTCACAAATTAAAGGAAGTTCATTTTTAAAGATAAAAGCCACATCTTGGAGCAAAAGATTAAATTGGGAACAATGGAGACGGGGTATTCATTCCCAACCTAAGAAAGTTATCTTTGAGGCAGAACAAGAAACTGTAAGCAAAAAAAGGAGAAATTCCTTTTCTCAATACCTAACTTAAATCTTTCATCATTATTTAAAGAAATACAAACAACAGTAACTATTAGAACAGTTGCTGTCTGGTTGACTCTGATTCTCCTGATACTCCCAAGTTTGCAGAGTAGAACTGTGCTCCATGGTGGTAACCTTTTAAGGCAGATCACCAGGCCTTTCTTCTGAGGCATGACTGTCAGATGCAAACTGCCAGTTTTCAAAAGTTTTTTGTTGTTACAACTGACTCATAGCTAACCCTCCAGTGGATTTTCAGAAGCAGTAATTCCTATGGGAGGAGAATGCATATCTTCCTCCAGAGGTGCAGCTGCTGAATTCTAACTGTGCCTTTTGGGTTGGCAGTACAAACCTTTCCCACTAAGTTACCAGAGATCCCTAATCAATGGGGAAAGGGTGCACTGGTGGCTTAGTACATGGAGTTGTGTGGAAACCCAAAAGTGGTGTCTCTCTGAAGGTTCAAATTTACTGGTAGCATCATTCAAGAAAGAAGAGAAATCTCCTCTTGTGCCCTTTAAAGCCTCTGAAGACCTGCTGGAGGATCAGTTATTAAGTCAGTCCCAGCTCCACAGTGATGAGTTTGAGCTTTTTGAGTCAATGGGAATGTCAAATGGTGCAACCACTATGGAAAGCAGTTGGCTTTTCATTAGAAAGCTGGGAATAGAAATACCATCTTACCCAGCAACTCAAATATTAGGTCTATATCTCAAAGAACTAAGAGCTGAGACACAAACCAACACCCCCCCCCCATGTTTACTGTAGCATTATTTACAATAGCAAAGAGTTGGAAAAAAATCTAAGTGTCCGTGAGTGGACAAATGACTGAAAAACCAATGGTATATTCACACTAAAAACAGTCAAAACTTCATTAAATACTGCACGACATGGAATGAATCTACAACAAATTATGCTAAGTAGATAAGCCAATCACAAAAAAGAGAATTATGGTTGAAGGTCACTATGGTGACTAGTGGAAAGTAGCTGCACTGCCAACCCGAAGGCATGTGGTTTGAATCTCCCAGCTGCTCTGCAGGAGAATGATGGCCAATCCACACCCATGCAATTTAATGCCTCTGGAACATCCTCGGAAAGATCAGCTATGAATCAGTTCTGACTCGACAGCACAAAACAACAATAATTACAAAAAGCTAAAGAAAGGTTTTAACATCAAGGAAACAAAGATTCACACCACCAGATCAATTTACAGTATTATTGCAGATGGAGAAGAGATTGAGATTGATAACAATGTCACCTTGTTCAAATCCATGGTCAATGCTCTTGGCGCCAACAGCAGTATGGAAATCAAAAGACAAACTGCCTTAGAAAAGTTGGCTGTCAGGAACTTCTCCAGAGTACTAAAGAGAAATGATGTCAGCCTAGAAAACAAAGTGCACCTGATGCAGACCATGGTCTTCTCAATTGCTTGTTATGCATCTGAGAGCTGGATAATGACTAAAGATGACAGAAGAAAAAGGATTCCTTTGAGTTGTGGTGCTGGAGGAGAATACTGAATATACCATGGACTGTCAAGAGAATAAACAGGTCTGTCCTGAAGAAGGTGAAACCAGGTTGGTCCTTATTATTATTATTGTTGTTATGTGCCATCGAGTTGAGTATGACTCACAGAGATCCTCTAACAGTGGATATGAACCCTGTTCTATTCCATGCTAT